ATGAATTGATTATTCCAGCGCAGTCAACATTTCAAAAAAATCACTCTGCCTCACCCATGTTTAGATTTCCTACTCAGTTTTTTCCCCTGAAGCCGAGGGGGGGCGACACATCTAAATCTCAATTCTAGATGCTCGAACAATCTCCCACTAGCGAATCAATCTTCTAAAACTCTTATTTCATTTCTCGCATCTACTTACATCGCGTATCATCTTTTTGCAGGAAAGCTTCAGAATCGTCATAAATCCTCTTTCTATCTACTCAGCATACGCGCAGCTAGCCACAGCAAACCACAATCTTTCCTGCATCGTAGATAGAGTCGTCCCCCTCGCCTGAAGCGGCATCAACTAAGAAAGTGTAAACTCATATTTTCCTCTTGATTCTTGCTGGCAGCCACCGAACAGCGAATACTCATCTCAACCTATGTTACCCCTCAAAGCGCACAATTTACCTTACCACACCAATCAGGCTAAGGCCTTGTTGTCCTCTGCTGTCCGAAGAAGTCGTCTCCACTCTTCTTGATCCATGGCCACACTTCGCCAGCCTCGTAGTCTGCGAAGGATCCGCAAGTCGCCTTCTACTTGGTCGATCTACCTTGCCCGCTGCACGCCTCTTCTTCTTGTTCCTGTTGGATCGCTTTCTAGAACCATTTTCACTGGGTCGTCGTGCGGCATTATTACGACGTGCCCAACCCACCGTAGTCGCCCATTTTTTTGCAATGTAAACGATGGATGGTTCTCCCAGCAGCTGGTGCAATTCGTTGTTCATTCGCCTCCTCTACGTTCCGTCATCCATCTGCACTCCACCGTAGATGGTACGCAACACCTTTCGTTCGAAAATACCAAAGGCGCGGTGGTCCTCCACGAGCATAGTCCAGGTCTCGTGGCCGTAGAGGACAACCGGTCTAATCAGCGTCTTGTACATGGTCAACTTCATGCGGCGGCGAAGTAGGCACGATTCCCTGCCATAATACGTCTTTGAATTTCTCTGCTGGTATCATTTTCGGCTTTACCAGTGAGCCCAAATAAACGAACTCATCGACCACCTCGATTTCTACACCGTCAATCTGAACGCGGGGTGGGAGGCTAACATTGTCTTCCCTAGAACCTCTTGATGGCAAGTCCAATCCGCCTAGCTTCAGCCTTCAGTCCGATGTACGTTTCCGCCATCGTCTCAACGTTTCTGAAGATCGTTCCACTCGTGTCTATCCCAGCTCTTCTGATCACACCTAACGCGATATTGAATAGCAGACACGAAAGTCCATCACCCTGCCGTAACCCCCTTCGAGATTCAAAGGGACTCGATAATGTCCCCGCACATCACTCGATCCAGCGTCGCCTTGACTAATCGCGTCAGTTTATCCAGAAATCCGTACTCGTGCATAATCTGCCATAGCTGATCCCGCCAGTGCTTCACCACCGTATTTTAATAGCTCACCTGGTAGTTGATCTATACCAGTTGCTTTGTTGTTCTTCAGCCGACCGATCTCGATTTCTGCTGCATCACCGTTTCGGTGCTCGTCATAGTACTGCTTCCACCTCTCATTCACCTAACACTCGTTCTTGAGAAGGTTACCGTACATGTTCTTGCACCTTTGCGCGAACTATTCAGCTTCTCGTAAATTTTCGTGTGTCGTTTACGCGGTACACATTTTCCATAGCCTCGTAATCTCGGTCTTCCTGCTGACGCTTCTTCCTTAAAAAAAAAAACTAGTTTTGTCTGTTCCGCACTTGTCTGTATCGTACCACATTCAATATCGTGCGGTGCTGCAGCATTCTTGGCCGTGCTGCATTCTTCTCCTCTACTAACAGTTTGCATTCACCGTCAAACCAGTATTTCTTCGGTCCGGGATCGCAGTACCTAGTGCCGCCGAAGCAGTACTATGTTCCATGGGTAGTGCAACTTCCAGCTGCTGCGCGTAGTCCTGGGCAACTTCTGCGTCCCGTAATTACTCAATGTTGGGTCGTGGCGTTCGACTTCGACGGGTGTTATGCACCGTCGAGAGTTTTGAGCGCATGCATACTGCAACTAGGTAGTGGTCCCAATCTATGTTCTCACTGCGGTACGTGTTGACGTTGATAATGACGGAGAAGAATTGCCCGCCGATTAGAACTTGATCGATTTGGTTTTCTGTGTGTTGGTCAATCTCCAGGTGGCTTTGTGGATATCATTGTGGGGGAAAATAGTACTTCGGACTACAATACCCGAGTGGCTGCAAAGTTTACGCATCATTGGCCGTTGTTGTTCGATACGGCATACAAGCTATTTGGCCCGATTGCCGGTATGTACATTGCCTCCCGTCCTACCTGAGCGTTCATATCGCTGATGAAGATTTTGACGTCCCGTTGCGAACAGCCGTCCAGCTCCAGCTGCGCATAAAACGCTTTTTTCTCGAATTCTGGTCTCCCTTCGTGTGGGAAGTTCACGTTGGTGATGCTGTAGTTTAAGAAACGGCCCTTAATCCTCAACTTGCACATCGTCGCATTGATCACGCGTTGGCGCATCTTACCCAGCACAACAAAGCCGATTCCCAACTCGTTGGTGGTGCCACAACTATGGTAGAAAGTAGCCGCTCGATGCCCGCTTTTCCATACCTTTTGTCCCGTCCAGCAAAGTTCCTGCAGTGCTACGACTTCGAAGTTGCGTGGTTGAAGTTCGGCATAGATTAACCTATCGCAGCCCGGGAAGCCGAGCGATTTGCAGTTCCATCTTCCGAGTTTCCAATCGTACACACTACTAATAAGTCATGTAAATTTCGGTTCCCTGAGACCGACACATGTAAGCGGGCCTTTTGACATAAGAATCAGTTGAAAGGAACGTGAAAATCAATTCAATCAAACGTTCTCTTCGTCGACTAGCTGATGTTTCGGTTTGAGAACACTTAATTTTACATGAAATGTTTGTTTACGTTCTATGATTTACGTCCAATATGGATTACGTCTCGTGTAAAGTAGTTATTTCTAAGTGTGTAGTTCTTATTTCGTCGCGTAGGTCTGTGCCGATTATTCCGATCCGTATTTCTTGCTTCGGTATTTGCAACTTCATATTTTTTCCAGGGCAGCTTGTTGGGTCTACCCCAACCCCTTGTCTCGCCGGGGGACCATCATGCACAGCTCTGTTTAGAGTCCCACGCTGGCACTAGGACGGTGATCAGCCGCTACTAACATGGAGAACAGACGCCGTTTTAAGCCGCACCTCCATGGTGAACAGGTTTGGTGAAGCATTTCCTCTATCATCGTACTATCAACAATCAATACGAAACTATCGATTTGAAATTGGCACACGACTTGACTAGCCTATTGGTCCCAAGCAAATCGATTAACGTACCCCATTCTAGTTGAAATTCTGGTACTACACTATGTTTGTTTTGATTCTCTATGAAAGTTTGTCAGATAAAATGAGGGGTTCGTGGATTTTCCCATTTTTCGAGGGGTGCATCGATTAGCTTGGGACCAAAGATAGTGCCAGAGCTGAGCCAAAAAAGTTGAGCACGTTTCTTCGGGACCTACTAGTCTTAGAGTTACCTCTATGGTACTTTGGTTACCGCGCCAGTGATCGCGTCGCACCTCTTCACTTTGCTATTGCCGGACTGGCAACATTGCCCATGTTTCAGCTGTGTCCATGTTTCAGCTGGTACTCCTTGTTATCATATGACTCGGTGGGGCGTGAGGTAGGAACTTGTGAGGACCAGAACTAAGTATTTCGCTCCTTCCAGGTTGTCAACTCACCATTTTGTAGCGCAACGTTTGGAGAACCTAAAACTTTTAATGTGAATTTTGCGGATCAACATAATGAATCTATTGAATGTTTCGTTGCTTAAGGCATTGTAACATTGTAGAAGTTGATCTAGTAGATCATTTTATCTGAACTCCAGACCGATTTGAGGAACCTAGACCATCTAACAAGCATCAAATTAGATTCTATATGATGTGCCAATACTTTATGAACCTGTGTTTCAGACATGCTTCGTTGTTAAATACATGATACCAGTCGTGGTTGATCTAGTGAACTCTCGGTCGATTTGAAGAACCTAGATCGATGGTGCACATATCCTGTATGCATCTGATTGAACAGATATCATTGCTGTGGACATCGTGCAAGCCCTGGTTGATCAAGTAGTTTAAATAATCTGAACTCAAAAAACAATTTGTAGGCCGCATTAAAGACCCTATAATATATTAATCAAAATGGCAACGCATTTCTAGTTGCTAAGGGTATCGTCCCTATTCAGGATCAAGTGCATGTTCTCAAACATATCTGGGAGTTTGGCTATAAACTTATTCTTTTATATTTTACTGTATAATTGACATCCGAAAGTACAACTTTGCCGAATATATTAACTATCACCTGTGATTTTATACAGCCAATCATATAGAGAATGGGCATATGACCCATCCATCCCGAAATGGTTAATCAGATTTTAATAATTCCTCCTAATGGGGGCTATTCCGTCTAAAGGTTTTCCGCGAAATGGGACATTCCACGAAATGGAATTAAATGAGAACAATAGGCCACAATACTTTCATTTTGAATGAATTCAAATGCGCAAGCCTGCTCATGAATTCAATGAATGTAATTTGAAACTGCATGCTTTCTTCATCTTTAAAGTAGTTCCACTGTATACATTTACCTGTCTGGAATTGAGTAACATTATAACCGAGTATTCCGAATGTGTATGTCATCATAAACTTAGATACACAGGTAATTGGTCTCACTCACGCAGGGTATAGACGACATCAATGTGTTATGTATTCATTTAAAATATGTTTCCCTATGTTTTCCTTTAGATGTTTCTATACTATTTGTTATGTACTACATCCTTACGGCGGAAGGTGTTTGGGTCCCAGGTTTTTCGTGTTTCCGTTCTTTATTACTAATTTTAAACCGGCACTACCGTTTCTGTTTCTGTTAATAGCATTTTCGCTGCGCTTTCATGCGGTCTTGTCTTGCTGATTCGGCATTGTTACAAAGCTCTTGTTTTTTCGCTTCCACACACACACAGCCTGGCGATGAGAATACCAACATCCTCTACCATCCACCGGAGTACGAAGGTCCCATTTTATTCTCGTTCCGGGAAAAGGCCTTCTTCGGCAAAAAGAAAGCCGCCATCCGCGTGGATACCGGCGAATGGAGCGAGAAGTTCTCACTAGATGTGGCCGGTTCGAGCGGTGTGATTGGCTGCCAGGCTAATCACATGACTTACCAGGTAATTATCCAACGAGGGGGGTGTTCCCACTTGGGTGAAGTTGTTAATTTGGATTGCATTTTTCTCTCTCTTTCTCTTGAAGATTGGAGTTCATAACACCTTGACCAATAATTCACTGACGAAGCAAATCGTATTCATGCCGTACTTTGTGCTGATCAACCAGGCTGACTTTGACGTGGAAGTGCAGGAACATCTACGTCCGGGGGATCCATGGACGCGGGTCAAGGTGAACGATTGCGTTCCCTTGTGGCCTAAAACGGAGGAAAACCAGATGCTGCGGGTGAAAGCAGCCGATCATAGGGAAATAACGGCTCCCTTCAAGTACACCGAAGTTCAGTGTACGTTACTGCAGCTGAAGAACCGCAACGGAGGCATCAACGTAGACGTACACGTAACGGAAGGTGCTATCTATATTACGTTTACTGGGTATCACGCAGGTGACGCTCCGGCCCTGTTGATCAACCACACGAACGAGGAGTTTGCGTTCAAGGAGAAGGGTGATGTGAATGGGAAGATTTTGATGCCGAACCAGAAGGTGTTGCACACCTGGATCAATCCGGCCGGTGATCGGAAGATCGTTTGGGACAGCGGATCCAAGTTGATTACGATTGAGAACGATCTACGACGGGACGATATTAGTGAGTTTAAATCACCCACGGATAAGGATATCTACTGGGTGTCGTTCCTGAATGGGACGCAACGAGTGCTGCTGATCACTGACAATGCTAACATCGCTTACGGAGTGCACAGTGCTAGCCGGTTGGATCAGGTTACACAGGAGATCAAGTTGGAAATCCATGGCGTTGGTTTATCGCTCGTCAACAATGTGAAGCAGTGTGATCTGATGTACATTGGTATTGCCAGCTCCGGAGTCATTTGGGAAGAATGCAAGCGCTCCGGTCGCTTCAAGCAAATGAAGATTCAGGAGACCTACTACGTCGAGAACGCTTACCAGCAATACCTTCGGGATGTTGAAGTAGGTGCATCTTCCCACAAGAAGTACTACCTCGAAGGAGAAAAGCGTACCGAAGTCGACTTTTTCAACAGACTCATCAAAAAGTCCACCGAGCGAGCCATTAGGCGAACCTTTTATCCGGGTTTGTGGTTCGAGATCAAATCATCATCCCATCAGATGCAGTTCCACGCCAAGATCAATCGCATCCAAATTGACAATCAGCTGGCGGATTGCATTTTCCCGGTGGTGTTAGCGCCGATTCCCCCACCGAAGAGTGTGGCCGCCATGACCGAGTTTAAGCCGTTCATCGAAATGAGCATGGTGCAGCGAATCATTCCGCATTCGAATGTGAAGCAGTTCAAGTATCTGCGGGTGCTGATGCAGGAGTTCCACATCAAGGTGGATCTGCTGTTTGTAAATGAGATCTTCGAGATGATCAGCACGGAAATAACGGAAGCCGAGGCGGTAAGTGTTGACATTGCAGGGCGCACTGAAACAGAGCTTGACTTTTGTTTTTCGTTTTCAGAAACGTTTGTTCTTGGAAGATCTGAAAGTCCAAACGCAACCACTGCACGCACACGTGGCCATTCAATCGCAGGTGGAGGTGAAGAACTTCTACGACAATCTACATCTGGGTCCACTGAAGATTCACGTCAGCTTCTCCATGGCCGGGTCGGAATCGAAGGCTCTGCCGGGAATTCTGTCGACCATTCTTCAGGGAGTGGGAGTAACGCTAACCGATATCAACGATGTGGTTTTCCGGTTGGCGTTCTTCGAGCGGGAGTTCCAGTTTCTAACGCAGAGGCAGCTGGTGTCGGAGTGCGTGACGCACTACAGTGGCCAGGCCGTGAAGCAACTGTATGTGCTGGTACTGGGACTGGATGTGATCGGCAATCCGTATGGGTTGGTGGTTGGGTTCACCAAGGGCGTGGAAGATCTGTTCTACGAACCATTCCAGGGGGCGATTCAAGGTCCAGGGGAATTTGCTGAGGGTTTGGTGCTAGGTGTTCGATCGCTGTTCGGGCATACGGTTGGGGGTGCCGCGGGAGCCGTGTCCAAGTGAGTATACTTTTAGACTCTACATAGGCTGGTTTATTAACATCCAGGCCCGAATTTGTTCTATAGGATCACCGGTGCCATGGGTAAGGGTTTGGCAGCTTTAACGTTCGATGACGACTACCAGAAGAAGCGACGGGATGCATTGAACAAAAAACCCGCTTCGCTACAGGAGGGAATCGCTCGAAGCGGCAAGGGGCTTGTGATGGGTGTGTTTGATGGTGTGACCGGTGTCTTCACTAAACCAATTAGTGGTGCCAAGGAGGAAGGTGTGGAAGGATTCTTTAAGGGACTGGGCAAGGGAGCTGTCGGGTTGGTAGCGCGACCGATTGCCGGTGTGACGGACTTTGCCAGTGGAAGCTTCGATGCGGTTAAAAGAGCCACCGAACTGTCGGATGAAGCCATTCGGCTGAGACCGCCTCGGTTTCTGCACAAGGATGGAATTGTTAGGTCTTACAATAAGAAGGAAGCGGAGGGGAATAAGCTGTTGAAGTAAGTTTAAGTGAATATGCCATTAGACTCTTTCCCGCCCATGGTTACTCTGATGCATCGCGCCTTTTTGAACATTTTATGCTATGGCTTTATGAAAGTTCAACCGATTTTTGTGAAACTATTGTCACATGATATGTAATACTGCTACTACACTGCCCATAAAAGCATAAAAGTCCCATATGGATTTTTGTCAGAATTGAGTATCCATTAGAATCAATTGTAAACTTTACATTGTGCACTAAAAGTGATATGCTTTGTTCAGAAAATATCGTGAAAAATACCAAAACTAGGTTGTTACATCCTTAAGAGCATATGGAAAATTAAATTTTCAAATGCGTTTTTCTCGGCTTGCTTTTTTCCCAGATGGGATGGAACAGATATGCTTTTATGGGCAGTATAGTGGAAAAAAAAACAAATCACGCCCTGGGTGGGAAAAGGTTAAGATGTGATTCGCTGAAAAACTGGTGTAAAAAAACCCTCAGCGTCACTGTAATAGTAAAACTCATGTTTGTAATAATTTTTACAGGGATATTGACAAGGGTAAATTCACTGCGACGGATACATTTGCATACTACGAGACTGTTATTGAAAATAGGGACGTTGTAGTGTTGACCGATTGCCGCATCATCTATGCTACCAAGAGCGACTTGTTCGGAGGCTGGCAGGTAATTTTACTCGCTGTTGTACTCGATCCTACTTAACCAAATATGCTCACAAAATAACACTCACTTTGCAGTGCGAATGGTCCCACCGGTGGACGGAAATTCTCAGCGTTTCTATGCTGAACGACGGCATCGAAATAATCCTACGAAACAAGGATGGGAAATCGGCCCTGAAGAAAATGTTCAGCTCATCGGCGAATCAGAAGAAGGTCTTGCTGATGTCGGTCACCTACCGTCGCGTTCGATTGGCCGACGAGATGGAACGCCTCCGGCAGAGAGCTGAATGATAAGATGGCTTTACGCGATCGTAAAACAGCTTTGCATCCAAACAGTCAACAGTCTAGTCACTGCAGTACACCGTCATATACCTACCTATAATATTTGCCAGTTCAAAGCCGGTACCCTAAAAGGTACCGAATTTCCCATCGCAGCGCTTCAAGTATCAACATTATCTATGGGATGTAATGATATCACCCGAATTCGCCTTTGCGGCGGCCACTAATCCACTACAACCCATCATTATATAATTACAAATATTGTTAAATTTTCAATCGGTGGCGTAGCGATCATATATTTCAGCGATTTCAGCGCATATTTAGCGGACAGCTACCGAGACAAAAAAAAAAGCAAAACAGAAGTGATATTTATTCCAATTATCTCAGACGAATATTATATACGACCACGACAGACTATATACATTATTCATCCGTGTAGCTATTCATATTTGGCGGCTTTTATTCGGGCCGCAGTAAGTTTTTCTCGTCATCATCGATCGTTGCGAATTCTACACTGTTGGAAAATCATCGCACTTTTTTTTCGGTGTTAGTTTTGCGATTAGCATTGTACAACTCATTGGATTTGGATGCTACCTTCTTATATTGAAATTAATATACCCATACGGTGAGACCAAGTAGCGAGTAGAATATCATTCTTTTTTTGGTATCATTTACTCTGTACCGCCAGATACCGGTGGAGCATCTAATAGGCGGATCGTTTGTAAGGGAGTACAAATAATCAACTTTAGGAAAACGATGTACTTTTTTTAACGGCGAGATAAATTATCACTAGCAGTAAAACCACTTTGCTTACCGATGGGAACGAATAACTTTAAGTTTTTTTTTCTTTTCTGCCTATACGCAAGTCGAATAAATGAATTAAATTTATTCTGTGCTATTTGCAATTGTGAGAAAGTCCGGAATTGGTTATTTTAATTTATATAGTGAAAATTGTGTTAGCACCACTCTACTGCAGAAGCAATTTGTAGGTTCTTCTTTATCGACTTGGTTCTTCGAATGAGCATGCGCGGCACACAGAAATAAGCGAAGATATAAAAAGACGTAGCACGTTCTGTTATGCCGCGACGATGTATGAGTACTGTCGTGCGACATTGCTGTGATATATTTCAAAGCGTGAGTGACAATCCGAAGCTTTCCTGCAACACATTTCAGACCGTTTTGCTGTAGCCGCATGTTTATGTTTGTATTAATCCAAAGTGATTGGTTGTGTTACTTTTGTTGCAGTAAGTTTACCGAGTAATAGGGAATTTTACGTACTCTCGGGAATCTAGCATAGGCCGCAGAATTCCTCTGCTTTACGCGCACATATGTTTGTTTCCATTTAGATCTTAGATTTACATTTCTTTGGTATATTGTATAGAACGTTTTATCAACGCTCCTAATTTCTCAGGTGAGTTAAGTTATGAATTTGTAATTTATTGCTGCCAAAACGAAAACCTGTCAGTTATAAAACTAAACATCACGTCAAGGAAAAAGTATGGAATAGACTAGACAGTTTCTGTAGTGCAGTTTGTCTCCCGCAAACTTGTTAATTTTTGACTGTTAAAAAATTTGTCTGGCAATTAATTTGATCGTAAGTGCAACCCACAGTATCGTGTGCTATTACATGCCCAAGAAGGCTTCCAGCCCGCATAAGCGCGAACCATAAATTGACCTTACCTAAAATGGTTAAAATTGTTTATAATCCCTGCTAAACTTCAACTGAAATGGTTATGGAACTTTACATGAACGTTTAATGATAAAGTTTTAACCTTAAGTATTATAGTTTTTTGGAAGTGGACCTTACAAATAATGGGTTGTTAAGAACCATTACCATTCAAAATTCTTGTTTTCTCCATACATTTTCGGAAAGAAAACTATACTAAAACCTTTTAACTTATGGTTTGAGAATATTAATGGTAATGGTTATGGTAACCAGTAAGGTCCATGAATGGTTTTGTAACATCGATCAACTTTATGTGGAATATATCGCGAATTGGTTGCCTGTAAATTACTGATTATCAATTCACGATATATTTCACGTAAAGTTGAGCGATAATACAAAACCATTAATAGACCTTACTGACTACCATAACCATAACCATTAATGTTCTCAAACCATAAGTAAAAACGTTCTCATATAGTTCTCTTTCCGAAAATGTATGGAGAAAACAAGAATTTGGAATGGTAATGGTTCTTAACAACCCATTATTTGTAAGGTCCGCTTCCAAAAAACCATAATACATAAGGTTAAAACTTTATCACACAAACGTTCATGTAAAGTTCCATAACCATTTCAGTTGAAGTTTAGCAGGGATTATAAACAATTTATAACCATTATCGGTAAGGTCATGTGATGGTTCGCGTTTATGCGGGAGGCCTGTAAAGTCAGCAAACAAGCGAATCGAACCCTTAACCAAGGTTGCAAACACTCATTACAACTAAAAAAAGTATCTCGGAATTATGAAATAATTAGATGTTTAAGCAGCATTTAATGATTTTGATTTAAAAAGAAACAAGAAGAGAGATACTTACAATCAGCGATTACTCACTCACTCACTCACTCAGCGATCAGCAAATCGCTGATTGTGACTAGTAAAAGTAGAAGGGTCTGTGCCCAGGGGCACGAACGGAAGCTTGACGTAAGACCGCTATTGGACGGAACAAATGTGAAGAGCATTTAGTTCAGTCATCAATTATCTTAACTTTTTCCGTTTTTGAATTGTAAGCGTACCAAATTTGTTGTATTTGTAGAATTTTTTTTTCATCAAAATCGCTTGCACCCCTGCTTCCAAGTTTGATTACAAGATTACAACTCTGGAGAGCATTTTGTGTGGTCGTTGGGGCCTGTGGTACTGAATATGGACAAACATCCACAGATAAATTCTATTTCAACTCTTTACTGTTATAAGCTGTTTGATAAATTCCAGACTGTTCATCCGGCGGAACTTTATCTTTAAAATTACACAACAGGTCACGCAAAGTGTTGTCGTTCTTGTGTACTACCTGTAGTCCTTGTCGCTTGAGTGTGGATTTGATTGGATTCGTAATTTTGGGGTAGAACGGCAGACTGATTCTTTTTACTTCTTCTCCCATTGGTTCTAGTGTGGTTATATTTTGTCGGTGCTTCTTTCGTTTGTGTTTTCGGAAAATTTTGTCCACGAACTCCTTTTCGTACCCATTCACTTCAGCCGCTTTGTAGATACGAATTCTTTCCTCTGCAAACTCGTCATCCTCCATGGGTACATTGTAAACACGGTGTGCCATGGAGTGAAAAGCGGCTTGCTTTTGGGCTCCAAAGTGGTTGCCCTTTCTGGATCTAATGATAACCAGAAAGGAGGACGACACCCTGAAATTTGGTATTTATCGCAAACCGACGTCCACCGATCGCTACATTACTTCCGATTCCAACCACAACCACTCCATGGCACACCGTGTTTACAATGTACCCATGGAGGATGACGAGTTTGCAGAGGAAAGAATTCGTATCTACAAAGCGGCTGAAGTGAATGGGTACGATGAAAGATAAAGTTCCGCCGGATGAACAGTCTGGAATTTATCAAATTCCATGCAAGGATTGTCCTTCAGTCTATATTGGACAAACGCGCCGCAAAGTAAAGGTCCGCCTAAAGGAATATAAACATGCTGTAGACAACAGAAAATCAAATGAATCAGCTGTGGCAGTACACACAATTAGCTTAAACCATAACATTGACTGGAAAGGTGCAAAACTCATTAAATCCGTCAGAAAAACTACACATCTAAACGCCTGGGAATCATCATTTATCACCAATGCTGCTGAACCATTAATGAATGAAGATGAACCCCCATTATATCCTGCCTTTTCAACCTGACAAATCTGAGAATCCAGTAGCTTCTCTTCTCTTCTTTTTGGACGTGTACGGAACAACGTATGAACATCCAAATAATCAGTCGGACATTGTCCCGTAGATGGGCAGCATCACGCCCGAAACCGGTCGACAGTAAGGTAAATTTTAATTTATTTTAAAGTTGTAAGAACGATAAGTGTTGTGTCTTGTCTCGCGTCGCGTTTTGTGAATGTTGTGTAGTTCTTACGTTAGCACAAAACGTAAAAAATAAACTTCTAATTATTTCATAATTCTGAAAAAAATATTTTTGGTGTAATGATTATTTGCAACCTTGCCTCAACTCATTCCCGCTCACTCTGATGCACCATGCCTTTTCTACATTTCATCCAATGGCTTTATGAAAGTTCATCCGATTTTTGAGAAACTGTTGGCACATGAGATGTAATACTGCTACTATTATAGTAATAATAGTTAGGAAAAAAACCAAGTCAATATCTTAAGGTTTTCATCATATACAAGGTAACCGGTAATTCGTGTTACACCCAAATGAAGGCGAAAGTAGACCACATTTGCAGCAAAAAAATGTACGTCAAAGTAGGTCGAAAAATCATTCCTTACCGAGTTATTGAGCAATTCATTTTCTACTGATTTAAAGTGCCTCATTTTGCTCGGGTATTCATTAGCAATCCAAAATGTTGTACGACCTTGTATCCCGAATTTAAATGTAACATTAAAGGATTAGATAGAACCTGATCATATCGATCCGAAAGTTAGCCTGTGGCGCCAATTGAAAAGAGTGGTTAGTAAACAAAGATTGATCATAGTAGCCAAGCAATGTTTACTCCCTGCCCGAGCAAAGTCGGATATCAAAATAATATCAAAATGATATCAAATTATGTTTTTGAAATCAAACTGCTAACATATTTTGTTATACTATTTTTTAAAATTTCAGTTGAGTTTATATTTTGATATGTTTTTGATATTTCTAAAAAATATAATTAAAAACAAAATTTGATTTTTTTTTAAAGAGCTTGCTATTATAATCCCAGCAGATTTGTTACGGTAAAAACTGGATTGATCGTGAGAATGCACTATTAATGTAAGTAATTAATATCAGTTACTAGGCATTAAATACTTATTTTGAAACTGTTTTCAGCTCGAAGCAATTACCATATAAAGTTGCTATAAGGAATAGTGCTTGGTTTTGTTCTTCGCAACAGGGTCCATAGTCATGGCCATTATTTCATAACTTTAAAACTGCTGCTCACTTTTCCTCATACGGCACCTGTATGAACCTTACGACACTCAGGACTTTCTCTTCGCTGAGTGTATGGGTAACCTGTGTACTGTTTTACAAAGTTTACGCAAATTTTTATATGCGAAACACCCGGGTTGTCAAGCAAAGTAAGTGCGATTGTTTCTCGTCCAACAATACAAAAGGGTGGATCAGGTTTTGTAAACCAACAACATCGGTTGGTTTACGTAAAGCATGGACCGTTTAGAAATAGAACAACAACAATTGCGTATATTTTGTATTTGGATTTAACTATTGAAAAGCTGCTTTCACTCATATGTTGGATTTTATGATATTTCAAGGAAAAAAGAAATATTCATCGAGATTTAGATGACATTTCCTGGATTCTGCTTATCAAACCGTGCACACTTTCTTCGTCCACCGT